TTTCAAATATTATTATATGAAATTTTATTTAAATATTTTAAATATTAAAAAAAATAAATCATAACTAAATTTATGCTGTTTTTAAGCTAAAATTGTTACATGAACTTTACAGCTTAAGGGATAGGTTTATGCCTTTACTGTTTTATTATTTCTAGATTTTACAGCTTTTATTACAAAAATTTATTTATGAATTGCGAAATTTCAAAGCGCGTAGAAATACTTCAAATAAGATGAGTTTTATTTTTGGTTTATTCTAATTGTAACTTTTATGCTTTTTATTTATAAGTAAATGAACTTCTTTATAATTACAAATAATATAAAATTTATATACGCTTACAAACTAAGAGAATGCTTTGGATTATAAAATTTTTATTGTAAATATAGTATCTATGAAGTTGATCCTTGCCATATCAAATTACACCTTCTTCTATTTTGTATTGTCTTAATATCATTTAAAATTGTGAACAACCTATCTATATTATTGGTTATACAAATAATGTGGTTGAAATTATTTGCAGCAAGTTCTTGCTCAAGGTAATCTGCTATATGTCTTACGGCTTCAACTTTTTGTTTACAAGACTGGCAAATTTCTGAATCAAATACTTCTTCGTTTCACCTATTTCAACTAAGTTATCTCCTGATCTTGGATCAGATGCTTCATCTTCTTTATTTATTTCATTTATGTTGTTACCAGATTCAACCTGGGGAGCTATTGATTCTTGGGTATTAATCTCTATTAACATGTGTTTATTAGTGTTTCAAACTAGAAAAGAATAATTTTCTCTCCTTTGAAAGTTTTAATACAAAAGTTAGATGTCTTGTAAATTTTGTAGTTTTGCCATTACTATTGCATGGTTGAATAGATGCTTACAAATAAGAAAGCAGGAATTAAGAAATGATAGGCAGCTGCAAATCCAATATGCTGAATTAATAAAATAACGAGTATGATTATCATTATCAATTGGTGTTGCAGCAAGCCGATTCTAATCTATCCTGAAATCTTCGAACCAAGATAGTGTTATGCATCTATGGTGCACTTGATGAAGATAAATTAGTTGGTCAAGAAGGATACACGTACAAATAATTCACACAACATAATCAAGCCATGGCCTGTTAAAGCGGTAAAGGTAACAACACTTTACAACTTTCCAATATGACTCTATTAACATATTTGTCTTACTAATTGGGATAGTTGTTTGTGATGACAAGCCCATAGCATTCACCTTGTAGTTTTATACTATTCAGATCACAAGTACACCCAAAGAAGCACAAGGTCATTGCTGAAGCAAAAATCATACATTTCATGGACTACGTTGATACAGATTTTGTTAGCTATTAAAAACATCCTAGCAGCATTAACTGATATTTTTTGGTATATGTTGAAATATTTTTTAATAAGATTAACAACTTCATCTTGTAGTTTTACTAGACATATAATATAGTACTTAGGGTCTATACAATTTAAATTAGGCTTAAAAGTAGGGTTGATAAAACTAAATTCTTTAACTGCTTCACTGGATTTGTTTTATTTTTTTGTAGCTTCTAAATTTTTTCTCTTATTGTCTTCTTAATATGCCACAAACAAAGTTGTATATTAATATTAGGCCATATTTCTTTTACAGCGTTGATCTGAGCAAAGTCTTTGTTTGTAAAGAAGTATTATAGCTGCAATCCTTTATTACAAAGAGAGTGAAGAAAACCTGTAAGTGCCTTTGTCCTTAGCTCCATTTGAGTATTATCAAATGCATTTGTAGTGTTCAGTATTAGATATACAACTGAAAATCCTGCACTATGTGTGCTACTGATTATTCCATAAAGTTCAAACTGCTCTTTGATTGTTTTGTATATTGCATTACAATGAATGCTTGACACAGATAAGAGTTTAGTTAATAATAGAGTTATAAATCCAATTGCTATTCCTTAAATTGTAACACAGGCAAATTTGCCTGCGAAGATTTTTACTAATTTTTTTAATATTTAAATTTTTT